GTATCTCAAACCACAACCTTCCTATTTTAGTAGTTGTTACGTACTCCTGCCCTTGTTTTGGGTTCGCACAACCCCAGTACCAACATTTGTTCCTTTCTTAGCAAAATATATATTTATAACCTCTCACAAGCCGCCAAAAGAAGCATTTAATTTTCAACAACATAATGCAAATGATAAGATGTCAACTCAATGTGATTGGAGTCAATTCTTTCATCGTCTTGATTTTATTATTGAGTTCCAGGGTATATGATATGATGAGATGGAACTTCATACTACCGAGTTGATATTTCATAAAGGTTCAGAGGAAGAATTTCAAAACATGAGATGAGATGTAAAATATCGTAAAGGTGAATTTATATTTGAGGAGCTAAAAGCTGTGGTACAGGAGTTAAACAAAGATCAAGATAGTGAAGTGATCATTAAAGCTAACAATCAGGTTTACTGGTGTTATCATTTTCCTGAATTCAAGAAAAACTATCTACGCAACTATCCTAGATGCCACAAGCTTTCGAACTACAAGCAGGAACTTCTGCAACAATCGCAATTAGTTTTATCTTCAATGGTGGCTGGAAAAAGACCTCAAGAACATATATCTGAATTTGAATCTGAGTCATATTTTGATGATAATTCTGACTATAGTTGTCAACAATCAATAGCCAAGTCTAGTGTTACAGCTGCTGCGAGAAAAAAACAAAAATTTGTAAATGATTCAGAGCATGAAATTGAAACAATAAATGATAATTCTACATAATATTTAGAACGGATGGTCTAAGTTTTGAACGTTTATAAATTCATTTAGTTTAATTAATTAGTTATAATTAATGAATCAATATGATTCTTATACTTGATAATAAACATATATACAGTACATGTTCTCAAGATTTATTAATTGATAATGACTATTTATTAAATATTTATTTTTCAGTATCGAAAAAATATCCTCTCCACACAAAGGATATTTAAAATTAAGTAAGTCTGAAGCTTAACAATTATTAATAGTATTAATATTAATAAAAAGTAAAAACTAGTGTAGATTTGATTTAATTATCAACCAATTTAGAGAACAACCAAAATCGATATCTTGACGAAACAATTTCTGCACAGCTGCCATGCACTTTTGCATCCCAAAAAAACTACCCACTAATTAAATCTCCTTAATTAAAAACTAGCCACTAATTAAATCTCCTTAATTAAAAACCACCTACTAATTAAATCACGTTTTTTTGGAGATACAAAATGAAAAAAGGGTTCATTTTTTATTAAAGGAAAAACAAAAAGGACCCCATTCTGCTGCCATGCAAAGGAATCAAAAACCACCCATGTATAGGAGGTTGGTAGGTATTATTACATAATCATGGACATTTTTCAGAATATCATTTATCTAAAGACCCGTTTCAGCTTTTTCTAAGTTACCAAAATGACTGCGACGGACACCCACGTGCAAGCACACGGTTATCCATCTGGTATTTTGGAAAGAATTGTGTAATATTGAAATAGCGTCGCTTCGCTTAGTATGATAGCGCTATGCTTCACGAGAATAATAAAAACTTACAAAAAATAATATTAAAAACCTATCAATATGTCTAGAAAACTTAGAAAATAAAATTTTTGCAAGGGGTGTGGCGACTTAGTGAAGTGGTGGAGTTGTCGCATCCCCAGACGGCAGGTCTAGAGTTCGAATCCCACAGACGACGTTTT